ATTTTAAATTTCTTTTTGATAGAATTAACAATGAAAATATTATAAACGATCATGAAAATCATTTAAGGTTAGGTCATATTTTTAAAACAGATTATAAATCAGAATGCTTTACATCATTCTTTATTACTTACTTATATAACTAATTTCTGTAGAAATATCACTGGTGCTAATCATCCTCTTCCAACGAAATCTGCAAGTTTTTATACGGTACATCGTGACGAGTAAGTTATATAGATTAACATTTGCTGAATATTATATTCATTGTTATAAAAGAAAAAAAAGATTAGAAAATAAATAAAGAAAAATAAGAAATAAGATATTGTTTGTTTACTATATTTTATCCCTTATGGTAGATTCGACGTATTTCTAGACAATACACATCGAATGATATTTTCTCTTATGTAAGTTTATCATATTGAAGTTCAATATGAATCAGCTTGTTACCTCTTTTTGGAAGCTATATAATAAAGACGAATAATATTTTTATTTTATATTGTATGATAATTAAGTTTTGTTCTTTTTCATAGACGAAAACAAATTGAAGAAATATCAAATAATATACAAGAAGCACGACGTATATTCGAATGTTTAGAATCTGAGACACAACGACTTGTTTTGGTATGAAGTTTTTATTTTCTTCTTATTGTAAAAATACTTTTATGATTCTTCTTCAATTTTTTTTTTATAGAATAAAGGAAATGAAGTCTTACAACAACAGCAGCAGCGATCTTCTTTGTCTATACCTATGCCTCAAATCGATACTGTTGATGAAATATTTTATCGTGAAATAGAAGAACGTGTAAAAAAAGCGGATCGAGAAAGACGTGAAACAGCACGACGTGCACGAGACAATTTTCGTCGAAATTCATCCCAATTCAATGTTTGTTTTGATACAGATAATCATACAACAATATTTTTTCAACCATCATCATTAAACTCATCAAATAAAATCAATCAAAAAAGTAAAAATGAGAGAAAAATTCCTATTGAATTCATTGGAAATAATGTTCCTATTCCTACAAATTCATCAATCAATGATTCAAAAATAATAACAATCGAACAAGAATCACTTCCACTTACTATTGTCGAACATAATCGATCGTAAGGAATAATTCTTTGAGAACATATTTTTTCACTTAAGAATCAAGAGAATTTATAATGTGTTAGTTTACTGAAAAAAAATCATTATTTTTTATCCTCATGTCAGCTATCTCGACACGATCTTCTGTCCTAAATAGAGTTTTTAACAACAAGCTAATATCTACACACCTGTTAGAGATACTAACATAATTGCAGAGGTGCAGAATCTATCTGTATGCGCGTACAACTGTACGGAGAAATTTTTGAAAACGTATTAGAATCTGGGGAAATATTTTGAAAAATATTTTTTTCTCTCAGGGAAGCATTGTTCAATTTTGCAAAAGTCTTTAATTGAGCGTTATAGTTGAGAAAATTTTCATTTTAGTGGCAGATTCTGAATAATTCAATATAATATTTTGTGACGATGACTTTTTTCTGTAAAATTATCGAAACTGTCAGTCGATTCGATCTGTTGAAGTTAAATCTAATTGATCATAATTTTAAACTTTTATTGAGATATGAAATATACATTAAAATAAAGTTGAGACAGATCAATAAATCAACATAATGTTTAGCTTTTCAAAAGCGTTAATGTCTAACCGAAAATTAAAAGTGATATTATCAATGTTGATTTTTGTTCATTTTCTATGTTCAGATCAGAATGTGTCTATCTAAAAGGCGAAAAGATCAGGACGTAAGCAATCACCGTTGTATCCAATTCTATTGACTAACATCCTTGAAAATTTGAATGATAAAATAGGATAGCATTGTTATTATTCTCTAGTGTTATCTAAGACAATACTACTTGAAGTTTTACATTTATGTAGAAGTACATTGATACAATGATCTATCTAGACTTTAATGAATTTACTTGGCATAAATTAATCCGAATCTGTCCGCGAGTGAGTCAGATCGTGTTTAGTATCAATAACTTTGTAAAACTAATAAAGACTTTATTTTAATTTAACAGAAGATATTTTCTATCCGAACATGCTTTTTAACGCAGTTTTCAACATCAAAATCAACATAATAGATAATATTTTTTTGTTGTTATTTATTGTAGTAAACCTTTATTACCTTTAACACGTCAAGATATTCGTCAATGGTTCTGTATAAGTGAAATTCCTTATGGTACATTTCGTTCTCCAAATGGTCAAATATATCCATGGTTTCATGGTAAATATGATTTTGTTCAACATTCTTTTGGATTATTTCAATATTCATACTCTTAGGAATTATTAGTCGATCTTATACAGAACAACTTCTATGTTCAAAACCAATTGGTACTTATTTAATACGTATAAATGAAAAAATATTTGGTTATGCATTATCATATCGTGCATCCGATCATTGTCGTCATTTACTTATTGAAGTTATTTCATCACCTCAACACAGTGATAATCGAATACAAAAGCAACCACAACAACAGCAACATGCTTATAGATTTTTAGGTGGTGCTAAGAACGAATTATTTTCACAATTAAGTCAACTTATTGAAAAATATAGTGTATGTTCAATAATATTCTAGTAAAAATAAAAAATAAAAAACTATGGATTTTATAAATTTAGAATATTCCAATACGTTTAAATTCTACGGATGTTCTTCGTTATCCATGTGGTCAAATAGATGCTCAAAAGCCAGATTATGCTGATTTATTCATTGAAAATCTCAATAACAAACAATATGAATCTGTATATATGTCACTTGGAACAACAAAACCATTACCTCAATCGAACACACATTTATAGTCAAATATAAAACCTAAATGTATTTTTAGTGTTCTTTTTATGTTCTTTTCATCTGTCTTTTAAATTATTGTGCAATGCCCATGTACTTTCCCAGGTGGAAGAGAACGACGCCGCGGCTGGTTATAAACCATATAAAACGGCGATATACGGTGAAAACTAATGCAATAATACTCCATTACCGACGATCACAGCGATCATCCTAGGCTTTTATCTTAGTTCTGATTGTTTGTCTGTTTAGAGAAAAATTATATATATATATATATATTTACATTCCATCGAGTTAATTCTTTTTGTTTGTTGTTATATTGAAGATTTAGTGCACTTTTTTTTTCTCACTAATATTTCTTTTGTCTTATTCTTGTAGTGGTGTTAAACACATGTAAACACAAATCAATTTCAAAAGATGATATATAATATTCCTTTCTTTTTTTTTTTTTTAATTCTTTAATAAGCTGTAGAACAGTAGTTGTTTTCTTCTTATTGTTATTTGATAAATGTTATTAGAAGATTGTGAAAAAATAATCAGAAAAAATATTATTCATATAATTCTAATCATGTGTTAGATCTGTAACATATTTTTCAAAAACAGATTGTTCAATATGAATCTTAAAATGGAAATGATTTTTTTTATTTACTTAGTGATGAAAGCCTTATTTTCAAGAAGTGACATTAATAAAGAAGGGTGTGGGCGATGTGTTTGTGGGGTGTAGGTGTGGATGAATGTGGGTCTGCTCTGAATTCAGGCCTATACTGTCACTGGTTTCCACATCCAACCAACTCATATCCACAGTCACACCCACCCTCACTGCTCGTTATACTGCTAAGATGCATTTGAGCAAGCCTCAAGATTTCATTGCATCTGTCGTCATCTATGCTGCAGATTATCGCACTGAGGTGCATACAAATTAGAAATTAATATCGAATTCGACAGTGTAATGGCATGTGGGTCACGATTCAAACGAGAGCATACGTGTGGGATGGGAGGTGTGGGTGAGAACACGAGTGACGATGTGTAATGAGTGCAGGTAGGTGAGCCTTAACATAAGATACACATTCACATTCACCCCTCGAACATCTCTACCAATAACCACAATATCATGATGAGAACTTCCCTTGGATGACGAGCAAAATATCTTCCATTCATGATGATCCATCTTTTTTTTGTCTTCTATTTATCTGAATAAATAACAAGTAGAACATACCAGCTTCGTCCTACTCAGAACTATTCGAAGCGATAGGGTCCATCAGAATAATAATTTGCTATTTACCGCCTATGCACTCGAATTCACTCATGGCAGCCACGGAAGCGAATGTTATACCGATATTGAATTACATATAACCGAGATACTCAATAATACATGCATTTTGTTTTCAAAACATAAAGGCTCTCCATTAGACTTCTCAAAATCTTTCAATTACGAGCACCGAAAATCAACTAGCTATAGAGAGTAAAAAAATGCTAGGATTCAGAAAAATTAGGCTTATCACAATGAGAACATCAGCCAGTGTTCAACTTACTTCAAAATCATATCGCTAGAAAAATATTATGACAACTAAAAGTATCATTCTCTAGCATACTGCACCGATACACGATCGTAGTCAGTTATAATGTCGTCCATGCCTAAAAAAACCTATAAAAACTAATGGTAGATTATCTATCTTTTCTACCATCTTAACATCACTTGAAAAGATACATTTCGTCTGAACTATCTGATGTTACTTGGTACAAGGTCGAAAGACGTCATAATTTTCTTGACACATTCATACCCATACTCGACCAGATCCTTTGCCAGCTTGAAATGCATTCTGGTAGCTTCACCTGATGTTCCTTGTCTTTGTATAAGATTTATGAATTATAAACAACCCTCACCCCTCACACCGAAAAAAAGAAGCTAGAAGAAATGTTAGTAACACTAAGTAGAAGTTAGTAATAGTGAGTGGGTGAAAAAAAAACCTAAGTTCACCAGTGGCAATATTAACAAGTCTGTAAGAAAACTTTTAGATTGTCAACACCTTCATTGGCAACGGCGAAATCCAACTTTCCGTCATTGTTTAAATCGCCAACGGAAACCGAGAACGGAAGAGATCCATGATCGATCGAAAAAAACTTTACGCCTGCGAAGGAGCCATTACCATATCCAAGTAACAAACCTACATTATTTGTGCCATAATTAGCAACAATAATGTCTAGCAAAGTGTCGTTGTTGAAATCGCCAAGAGCAACCGCCTTGGGTTGAGACTTAAAACCAGTCGTAAACGTTTTTTGGCTTGAAAAAGACCCATTACCCTGTCCAAGAAATACGCCAACATTGTCATTGTCATGATTCGCGACAACGATATCAAGTATGGTATCGTTGTTGAAATCGCCAACAGCTACAGACCATGGAGAGGAGTCAGTTGAATATGTTATTTGATTTGCGAAGGAACCATTATCATATCTCAGAAAAATACCGACTTTGTTGCTGCCTGAATTCGCAACTACAATATCTATTTGACTGTCATTGTTAAAATCACCAATGGCGAAAGACCTAGGTCGAGATCCACTGCCAGTTATAAGCCTCATTTGGTTAAGAAAACCTTCATTGGAATGTCCAAGATGTACACTCACATTATATCCATTCGCATTAGCAACGACGATGTCCAATTGGGTGTCATTATTAAAATCACTAACAGCTACAGAAAATGGACCAAAGCCAGTTGAATATGTCATTTGTTTTGCAAAAAAGCCATTGCCATATCCAAGAAGGACACTGACAGTGTTGTCCTTAAAATTAGTGACGACAATATCTACATGGGTATCATTATTAAAATCGCCGACAGCTGCAGAGGATGGGTTAGTACCAGTTGAATATATCGTTTGATTTGTAAAAGAGGCGTTGCCGTATCCAAGAAGGACACTTACAGTTTTGTTATAATAATTAGCGACAACGATATCTAGTTGGGTGTCATAATTAAAATCACCAATAGCCACAGAGCGTGGTGAAAAGCCAGTTGAATATGTCATTTGATTTCCAAAAGATCCATTGCCATATCCGAGAAGGACACTTACAGTACCGTTTTTGTCATTAGCAACAACGATATCCAATTGAATGTCGTTATTAAAATCAGCAACAGCTATAGAAAATGGGCCAAACCCAGTTGAATGGGTCGTTTGATTGGCAAAAGAGCCATTGCCATATCCAAGCAGTACACTTACACAGTGATCACCCCAATTAGCAACAACGATATCCAATCGGTTGTCATTATTAAAATCACCAACAGCTACAGAGATTGGCTCAGAGCCAGTTGAATATGTCGTTTGATTTGCAAAAGATCCATCGCCATATCCGAGAAGTACGCTTACAGTGTGGTTATTGAAATTAGCGACGACGATATCCAATTGGGTGTCGTTGTTAAAATCACCAACAGCTACAGAGATTGGTTCAGAGCCAGTTGAATATGTCGTGTGATTTGCAAAAGATCCATTACCATATCCGAGAAGGACACTGACAGTATCGTCTTTTCCATTAACAGCAATGATGTCTAATCGGGCATCGTTATTAAAATCGCTAACAGCTACAGTCCTTGGCCAATAACCGGTTGAATATGTCATTTGATTATCAAAAGATCCGGTGTGGTACGTAACAAGCACATCTACATGATCGATGCCTTCATATGCGACAACAATTTCTGAACGTCCATTTTGGTTGAAACTACTAGCACTAATCACCAATGGAGCGATATCAAAATCTACACTGTAACTTGCTTGATTTTCAAATGTTCCATTCTCACTTCCCAGAAATGTAACAAGATTTTTAGTACCATAATTGGCCACAGCTATATCCGCTTGACCGTCTCTATTGAAATCATGAATAGCGATTGAGTAAGGATGAGAATTTAAGCCCGTTGACAGCACTATTTGGTTTCCAAAAGTGCCATCCCCATATCCAAGAAGGACGCCTATGTTATTAGTGCCATAATTGGCAACGGCAATATCCAATAGACTATCGTTATTGAAATCAAAAATGGAAAAGCTTCGCAAACGGGAACCATCACCAGCTGCAAAGGTGAGTGTGTCTTTCAGAGCTCCTCTATCATACCGAAGTAGTACCGTTACAGTATGGTCATTGAAATTAGTGACAATGATATCCGATCTGGTATCATTGTTAAAATCGCCAACAGCTACAGAGGTTGGCGTAGAACCAGTTGAATATGTCGTTTGATGTTCAAAAGAGCCATTGCCAAATCCGACAAGGACACTTACAGTGTGATTACCAGCATTAACGACGATGATATCCAGTAGGGTGTCGTTATTAAAATCACCAACGGCTACACAAAATGGATAAGAGCCAGTAGAATATGTCTTTTGATCTTCAAAAGAGCCATTGCCATATCCGAGAAGTATGCTTACAGTGTGACCATCATAATTAGCAACGACGATATCTGATAGAGTGTCGTTGTTAAAATCACCAACAGCTACGGAAACTGGATGAAAGCCAGTTGAATATATCATTTGGTTTCTAAAAGAGCCATTGCCGTATCCGAGAAGTACACTTACAGTGTGATCAATTAAATTAGCTACGACGATATCCCATCCTGTATCGTTATTAAAATTACCAACAGCTATGGAGCCTGGATGAAAGCCAGTTGAATATGTCGTTTGATTTGCAAAAGACCCATTGCCACATCCGAGAAGGACACTTACAGTACAGTCTTGTCCATTAGCGATGACGATATCCAACCGGGCATCATTATTAAACTCACCAACAGCAATAGGAAATGGACTAAAGTCAATTGAATAGGTCGTTTGATTTGCGAAAGAGCCATTGCCGTATCCAAGAAGGGTACTTACACTTTTGTCGTAGTAATTAGCGACGACGATATCTAGCCGAGCGTCATTATTGAAATCATCAACAGTTACAAAGCACGGCGAAGAGCCAGTTGAATATGCCACTTGGTTTTCTAAAGAACCATTGCCATATCCGAGAAGTATACTTACAGTGTTACCAACCTTATTAGCAACGACGATATCCAACCTGTTGTCATTATCAAAATCCCCAACAGCCACCGAGTATGGGTAAGAGCCAGTTGCATATGTCATTTGAATTGGAAAAAACTCGTCATAGCCAAGCATAATACCTATGGTTCCCGTATCATTGTTGATGAAGATAATGTCTAAACGATTATCTTTGTTTAAATCACCTATGGTAATGAAGATTGAGGAAGAAGATCCAGTTGAATACATTTTTGGGCTGGCAAAAGTCCCATTGCCATATCCGACAAGTAGAGCTATATTGTCAGTGCCATTATTGGTGACTATTAAATCCATTCGATTGTCGTTGTTGAAGTCACCAATGCCGATAGAATATGGAGAAGCGGCACTGATGGAATAAATCGTTCGGTTCATAAAACTCCCATTGCCGTCGCCCAGAAGTACACCTACACTGTTATTTCCATAGTTGGTGACGGCAATGTCTAGCATAGTGTCTTCGTTTAAATGACCAACGACAATCGAGTATGGATGAGAATTAGGACCAGTTGGAAACAAGCGTTGCTTTGCGAAGGTACCCTTACCATTTCCAAGAAATAGACCAACCGTATTTGTACCATAATTGGCGATAGCAAGGTCCATCTGTTTGTCGTTGTTGAAGTCGCCACTGACAACAGCAATCGGAAAAGAATCATAGCCCGTGAAGTATGTGCTAAACATTGAGAAGCTTCCATTTCCATATCCATAAAATACGCTTATACTGTGTGTACCGTAGTTAGCGGTGACAATATCTATTGCCGTGTCATTGTTGAGATCTGCTATATGAATCCACACAGGACGAGATGATGCAAGTAAAAGCATTATTTGACTTGCAAAAGACCCATTTTGGAATCTGAGAAGTACAGCAATACTATTTGTGCCGAAATTTGCGACGGCGACATCCAGTCGATGATCGTTGTCAAAATCACCAACAGCAATCATGTACGGAGCAGAGCCATAACCAGTTGAAAACATGACTGGGCTTGCCACAGTACCGTTGCCATATCCAAAATATATGGCTATATTGTCAGCAGCATAATTGGCAACAGCAATATCTAGCCAAGTATCGTTGTTGAAGTCACCCATGGCGACAGATCGTGGACCATTCTTATAGTCAATGGGATTTCTGGCTGTTGCTTTAAAATTAAGTTCACATTTTGGAACTAAGTAACACAAGAATAAAAAAGTAAAGAGTGATCAGCTACTATAATTCAACAATCTCTAGCGGATTGTATCAGATTCCCATAATTTTGAAGGTGTTCTATGGCGAGTTGTGGGATTATAGAAATCAGATCGGGATGGGAACCAATATTTTTCAACAAAAGTTTGTTGAACCTGGCTGAATTTACTACTCAGATTACTCGTTGTGCGCACTCTTTTATTTCCTGAAGAGCTCGTTTACGAAACACATAGTGACTGAGGAAGCACTGGTACAGCATCTAACATAACGAAAAACAAATCATCGGTTGCCCCTAACTACAAGTTATTAATAGTTGTCATCTGGCAAATTAAGGGAATGTTCATGTCTGACATTATGTTTAATGACCTGTGACTTCCTTTTGTCTGATTATACTACAATGTTATAATATGGCTTCTGTAGCTGTATGATGGTTTCTACTTTTCTAAATGACAAGATCATTCCTCTATTTTTGTTGGTCGTCCTCAGATTTATTCGTGCTTAGACCCAGTGTATCGCAGCTGTAGCTATTAGGATATTTTGAAAGTTTAAAATGAAAAAGGTATGCCTTCTTCAGATCATCAAGTCCGAAAGCTAATCTACTTTTTAAAACATTGTGAAAGCAATCGCATTGCTTTGCGAATTTATAATCTTCAGACAAATGCGCACACATGCAATGAAACTTCCAGGATATTCTAATAACTATGAGGCATATGGGAGAAAAATATCATCATTTCAATGTTCAGTGCATGATAAGCTACTAGAGGATATAAAATAATATATTTAGCTCAGAAAAACACCGTTAATGAAGAAACCTTATCAACTGTTACTGTTAGAAGTGTCAGACTGAGTTTTACTCACACTTCTGTGAACCAAAGTAAAACTAAGTATCTTTCTGATTGAAAAATCTCCTATACAGCAGTTATCAATGGTTAGTTTAATCATTAGTCACATAGTGTTGCATGATATCTTCATTAGTTACTACTGGTCAGGTAAGTGATAAGTACTTTGTTTTTAATTAGAGGGTTGAGCAGGAAAATTATTGATACCGACAAGTGCTCTAGGGGTAAGGGAAAATGTGTCAGTTTACTTTTTAGGTTGAAGAAAGACTATTTCACGACAATAACCATGTGTTTGAAGTCCAAATCTATCGATGGTCCCTCTAAACTTTTAGTATCGATCTTTTCGCGAAATAGCCTTTCTCGAGTAGAAATTCTAAGACCAAACATGTAGGGAATCCAGTAATAGGGAGGAGAGCGCATAAGGAGATGAATCAATCCACCTCTCGGCTTTCAAAACGAGCATATATTTCAATGCAAAATTAAACGGCAAACCTTTTGATGCTACATTCAAACTATTTGGGAAGTGATTCGATGGCGTCTGACAAAAATCACTATACCATAGTTTTATTGCATCCAAACAGCTGCATACTAATAATAAGTTTGTTAAAACACTTATTCACCACTCTATAAATAGTCTCATTTGAAAAAAGCAGCAAACTCTGCACAAACTCTTATATAAACCATTCAGGAATAGTAAAAATAAGCTGAACTCATAATGAAATAATAGTGCTTGTGTCGATATTTTAGGTATGCTATAAAGATTCAGGCTTCTCAATTGCTTTTAAAGCGGCTTTACGATGAACGCTCCTCTCGTTTGATGGAGTTTTTGACGGATTACATACTGATTTAGTTTTATTCTAGTGGTTTTATTAGCCGAATTTTTCGAGAAACAATACTGTATAAAGTTGCTACCGTATATACTGCTACAGTAGAACGAGATATGTCATCCATATGATAAAAACAAAAACTAATCATGTCTTTCTTTGGTATTGATCTAAGTTGATTAGTGCATATTTGTCATATGTACATTTCTGATATCCATAAAAGAATTTTATCAGCGTGTAACCCGTCAACAGCTGCATCAAAAGCTTAAGAGGAAAGTCCCTATGAAAGCCACTTCAAAAGCAATGAAGACACTTCAACCTTTATGACATACACACTCCTAAAAATGATAGAAGCCGTGATTCAAGAAACTTCTCTTGTGAATCCTTAGAACACTGAATAAGATAAAATTAATCTGTGCGCAACTAATACCAATGCGTAAGATGAGCTTTTAAAAAAATCAGATCCTGAAACTATTCTTTTTTAGAAAACACGAGTCTCCTTTTTAGAAAAACTGATTATTCTTGTTTTTCTACAACAATATGGCAATGGGACGAATCTCCTTAGGAATTCTACGCTATTCCACAGCCAGTACCAATAAATAAATTAGAAGTTGAAGCAGAGGATATCAGTTGATGAAATTCTTTTGTGAGAAATGGTATTTTTCTTGTCATTTCCTTGGCTCATATGGTCTGACTTATCGGTATAGTAGTAGACCTCTTGGCGATGATCATCTTGGTAGGTTCACGTCCATCAGTAGTAATTTGAAACGGAAAATGAAGTAGTTGTAGTGTTTATAAATTCACCTTGGCTGGGTAATTTGCTTCGAGCATGTTGATATCAAATATTATGATAATCTTAGTCCTTTTTATCGAAAAATTCACAATATTTGTAAAACAGAACCCAGTTAACTGTGGATTTTGTCATTTTGAATAGGAAGAATGTCAAACAATAAGAACATACCTGAGAAGTTTGGTGAAGTAAAGCAAACTACCAGTATACCGATGGCCGTAGCTATGACTATGATCATAGGTAATAAAAAGACAGGTTTGGTACTTAAATTCAGTGTTGACCAGAGACAATATTTCCTAGAAAAGAGCAACAACGATTATATTTAACATCAAAAGAAAAAGTGATACATAGTCTGTCGAAACGTATGGGTTTCTATTTGGTTAATAGTGTTGTTCTGAAGATTTCTTGCATTTTTTGCTTTTAAAATTGTTTTCAGCTTCTCCTTTGTATTGACAAGAATGCTTTTCTCACGAAGCGTGTGATTGACCAATCTAACGTTGTCGCCCATAGGAACCATTTCAATCTACGAAAAGAGAGTAGTTAAGGAAGAACACAACTGTGAGATGAGCATATAAATATATATCTAACCACGAAGAGTTCCTGCAGAAAACTGTCGGTGCAATAGTTTTGCAGAATCTGTTCAGTCAATATACGTATAAACAAGCAACTTCTGTTTGAAGTCTCAACGCTTTTTCAATTATTAAATGTGTTTAATATATTGAGCAGACTGCACAAGTTTTTTTGGCGAGAAACTTATAATCGATCAAACCACTTGCACGGATACTGTAGCGTATTAGAACAATTATCAAAGCGTCTACTTCGAATGTTTATTTAAACAGCTAACATCTATTTAGTATTTGCTGATTTCTATCAAAACTAATACACATCGTTTTTTTCTGTTTTCAATGCTTTTGCATAAATAATTGCAGGTCTAATATTTGAACATATGTTCTAGCCACATTTTTAAAACGCCCAGTAGCATTACTTCAAATCCGTCGAACCTTGGTCAAAGCACCACAATCACCATTTTTTGGATTGTGACTTGGACAAGTAAAAATTTCGTGGTGTTTCTACATATAAAAGACGAATCGAAGTTACTTCGTTCTCTTGTCAACGTTTAGAAAAAAGTTATCGGAATGCGTCGCAAACTTACCTATTCCTTTCGAATGAGTGTTGAAAAAAAGATATTACAGGTATTCAAATGTGGAAAGTCTTTCTTCGTTAAGAAATGTGAGACTTTTTTTGTGCTTCTTACAGCAGAGTATGAACATTTTCAATGAAAGTCATTTTCAGTTTTGTCTAATCAGGAAACATTTCAAGATGTCTCGCTCTGATTTCATTCGTTCATATACCATTCGAAAAGAAACCACGAGTAGATAAAAAGCATAAAAGAATTTTGGCCGACAACTTTTTCTGCGAGAGTTATGGCCGTTTTACTGAATTTCGGGTCTGTGGCGAGGAATTTCCGAAAAAATCGAGTTCAAGAAGTTTGATCTGAAATTTTGCCCACAGGTAGACATATTAATAATTTGAATCGTATGAAATTTTCAGACAAACCGAATGTTTCTTTATCGAGGTATTGAATTTTTAGAAATAATCATTTTTCACAGACAGGCCACACAAATCGAATTTATTTGAAAATTCAATATCTCGAGAAAGAAACATTCGGTTTGGTTGAAACTTTCAGACGATTCTAATGACTAACAGGCCTATATATGGGCAAAACTTTAGGTCGAAATTCTTGAATTTGATTTTTTCGAAAATTTCTTGCCATAGATCCGAAACTCAGTAAAACGGTCAGAATTCATGTAGGAAAAGCCGTCAGTCGAAATTCTTTTTGGCTTTTTATCTAATCAAGGTTTTCTATCGAATTATATATGAACGAACGAAATCGGAGTGAGACATCGGGGAATGTTCCCCCGTAAGCCCAATACCTACACCTAAACAACTCAAACAGTAGCAACGAGAGTTGGCACTCTCGCACCCTACACGTCAACATGTCTGCAAACTACAATGCCACAGTTCAAACAGCACCACTTGATTGGTACTCAGTGACTATTTTTCAAAAAAGGATTCATGTTCTACAGTCTATATTTTCAGTTTTCTATGCAAAAATATACTTTCTATGGAGCACTAAGCTCTGCATACCTCATCAACATGGGAATACATCGTTCAACTATGTGCTCGTATGCAGTTTTGATCAATGCAGCAATTTGCGTTGTTACTGTTCGTTTGTCGCGTATAAAGTATTATTGTAGGCTATACAAACAACCTATAAACAAAAGCGAAATTACTTAAGCATTTTTTGACAATAACGACTTATTGAGTAGCCTAGGGATAATAGCTGTTTTTTTTTCTTTGCTTTTAGTGCAAAATATGAAACAACTTTTGGATTCTCTTTTCTTATAATATGTAGTGTATCATTGTCTACACAACGAAATAAAAGGTTTTAT